ATTACAATACTTCTTTAACATACGTTCGAGTAGTGCAAGTTACTAGTAAAAACTGTACACGAAGATGTGAGTGACACCTTATATTAACTTACAAGGGTTATCATAAACTAAAATTTTATAACTGTACTTCAGGAGGGAAGAAAGTTGTTATATCCTTTCTCAGACGTTGTTAAATTGTAGCATCGGCGTCTTGTATCCGAATTGGATTTTCAGATTTTGTTGTGCATTCTGTTTTAGCATGACATGCTTTAGTAACCAGTTCTAGATCATAAATGCATACTTTCTCACATGCACATATTTTTTTAAACATCTACCTAGTTAAAGTGTTCAGATGAGAAGACGTAGCACAATTAAACAGTTGAAACGATTCTGCGTTTGACCTTGATTGTGCTAGTCTTTTCATCCGAACACTCCTTCCCAACCCCTCAACACAGATGATCAGCCCTTCGAATATTGTTACAGAAATACTTTAAACTTAATGACAATTTGCAGGTTGGGACGACCTCTGGTGACAAATAGGAGATGATATCCTCGTTTAGAGGATGTGATCATTTTAATATTATGCTTGGAAAGGAATAGACGTAGGACAGTTTTGGCTAAAATTTGGCACCGATAATTGTCCGATAGACTAGCACTCCCTTTTTAAAAATTTGCATCACCTTTGTTGTCCTACTATTTTAGTTTCTCCGGAAGTATTTTAATAGGCTACATTTTTTCAAAAATCGGCACTACAAAATATGGAAATTTTTTGGAAGGTTTTAAAAATCACATTTTAAAACCGAATATTTCGAAAATCTCAGCTGTGTTTCTTGATTCTGGTCATCGGAATCTATTCCCAGAATTTTTTGGGCATTTTTGTACAACTTCACCAAAATTGTTATTTTTCAATACCCTATAATGTACGCACGCAATTTTTGACCTTTCATCAAAAACCGTCGAAAATTACCAAAAGAATGTATTTGTTGATTTCGAGCTTCAGTTTTTTAAAAGGTTTCATTTCTTGTGCATTTTTAGCTACTTCCTTAGTTAAATTTTTCAGTATGTATGAAATTTTGTCCTTTTCCACATCATTTTCGACGATCACTAAAAGAGATTCTTTTGTAGATTTGGACTCCCAGACGATGTTTTAAGCTTCATTTCTTCCAAAATATACGAATGGCTAGTTTGAGGTTTTCTCGACGTTCCATGATCCCTAGAGTACCAAAAAGTAGGTCTCGCGGTTCCGTCTGTCTGTTGATTTTTATTAGACTTCTTCGAAACCACCAGACCAGTTGTCAAATGTTATACTCCAATTTATTTGCTTTATGAATATCGTGTCATTAATTACTTCAGTTAGATAACGGCGTAAAAGAAATATTTATGGGGAGCGGAAATAGGAAAAGAACTGAGACGTTAATGGACAATGACACAAGAGATATTTCTCTTCTTCAGCGAAAAAAATGTTCAGTTGCAGTAAATGTGCCTTGATATTTATTTCACGTTTCTGGGAAGGTATAAATTTTTTTTTAATGACAAGTTTTCTTTCATTGTATAAGATAAATGTACTTGGGTTAAAATTTACGGACTTTTCTAAGAATTTCAAATTTTCATATGCAGAAGATATGCTGTTTATAGAACTATACCGGATGTATGTCTCTCCGCTACTCTTAACAATCGCCTTAGCCCCTCACTCTCTTTTCTTAGAGGGTATGTCATTTCCCAAAATTGGTCTTATTTTAGCAGCTATTAGCCCCGCCCACCCACCCTCTTTTTTCTTAGAGAGGATGTCATTTGCCAAAATCAGTTTTATCTTAGCAGGTACCAGCCCCGCCCACCCGCCCTCTCTTCTCTTAGTGGATATCTCATTTGCCAAGATCAGTCTTATCTTTATCCTTTATACCTATAACTGCAACCTTTATCATGTAACAAGTACTACCCCCCCTCCCACCCGCTCTTTTTGTTGTTAGAGAGTGGGTCATTTGTCAAAATCAGTCTTATTTTGGCAAGTACTAGCCCCACCCACCCAACCTTTATTTTCTGAGAGGGTACGTTATTTGGCAATATCAGCCTTATGTTGGCAAGTACTAGCCCCGCCCACCCACCCTTTATTTTTTTAGAGGATATGCTATTTGGCAAAATCAGTCTTATATTAACAGGAACTAGCCCCGCCCACCCACGCTTTATTTTCTTAAAGAATCATCATAAGTTCAAAATTCCTGTGCCGCTCCTATTAATATTTAATATTACCCGGTATAAACAATTCTAAAAAATATGAATACAATGATGGAATGGGAAGTATAGATAGACTCATCATAATTGGCAGAGTTTAGACAGGATTTTTTTTTCAAAATATTGAGATGATATTAGTTTTTAGGGGGATTGTAAACGGATAAATTTGGATTAATTTGATGTCCACGTTTCCGATAATTTTAAAACGTTTGCAATATTTCAGAGCATTCGGTTTTGCAATTTCAAAGTTAAATTATAGAATGTTGTTATACAATATTGATTTTTTTACAAAAATCTGGATGCCTAGGGTGAAAACTCAACACGGAGTCATACGACAGACGGCAGACACTTAGACGGAAATGAAAGACCTATGTTTCTGTGCTCTACGGGTCATGAAACGTCGTGAAAACATAAAAGTAGCTAGTCTTAGCTTACGCTAGAGAAGTAAAACGTATTTTCACATATAATTTAATGTTAATTACATTTTTGAGGTGCTTTTTGAACCTAAAAGTGCCTAAAAACTGTAGTTACACGTAATCTGTTCAGCCTATTTGCCAGATTTCCGACAGCATCTCACTGCAAACTGATTTAGCTGACTTTTTGAACACCACATTGGAAAATAATAGTTATAATAATAAAATGAATTAATAAATACGTCTTCACTTTTGTTTTTAAACATGTTCCGCCTGAATTTTTTTAAGCAATTTTTTTACCCTGAGTTTGATCAGTGATCAACTGATTATGTATAATTTTAGTAATAAAAGTTTAAAAGTGTCGTTTACGTCTTGTCACAATGTAGTATAGTTTCTACAGTAACACCTGTACAGGAAATTAAATTTTGAGGGAGCTCATTCATATTCAACACTGTTGCTGAAAAGCAAATGATCTTGAAATAAAAAAAATACGTTTTATATTTTTATTACGCATGTGAACAGCCTGTTAACTGTCCTATAAACGGGTTCGAGATTCTATATAAAATGAGCTATTTTTATTAATGAAATGTTTATTGTATTTATGGTAAATTGAAATAATTAACATTAATTATATTATTTCAATTTGAACCAAAGCATATTTTAAAAACCACTGTTCGCTAGGTATCTATTTTACGCAATAAATTCTGATTGACCAATCGATAACCAAATCCACAACACAAACCGTTGAACTGGAAAGTTAGCTATCTTTAGTGGAACAGTTGCGGCTTGGAGCTTCAACCGTTGCTGTTCAGGAATTCTACATATTGCAGCAGAGAATTGAAAATTTTATCTCGTTGCAGTTACACCAACAGCAACTGTTACTTCTAGATGATAATTTATAAATTTAGCTTTAAAATTAATTAAACCAGCAGACTTGTTAGACTAATAAAATTCTTAAATTTCAGGACTTTTTTTGGATGGGATGTTTTTCCATAATTTTATTTCATGATGCTGTCCTTTAGTTTAATTAAAACAGGACTGCTAAAGTTTTTATCTTCACTTATAATATGCGTAAAATAAGTCATAAAATAATTAAACTTCGACTGCGCGAAAGTGATGATCATTGCCATCCGATCGCCAGCGCTATTGCAGTCGTGGCCTACAACTTCGGGAATTCTTAATAACAATGACTACTTTTTCTAGGTTTTCCCCAGTTATACGAGTCCTCAAAATGCCTTAAAAATTAAAAATTGCGGCAATTTGTGCCTAATACCTATGTTTCGTTTTTATTAAAAATGTATGCGATTTGTAAATATCAGTTATTACTAGGTGTGTTGAGCGGTTACATTAAATTTCGAAACAGTATGTTTAGATAATGCGATTGTAGCGTTCACAATTCATAAATGTAGCAAATCAGATTAAACCCTGCCGCCGTTACTTAAATAAAATAGACCTTCAGCCATCATTAGGTTACTCCAGCTCTTAAATCAAGTACAACTTGTCCAAGTGTCTTTGACACGTGAAAATTATAATTTGGCAGATTTTACAGCTCACTGAAACTGAAATTTAAAACACAAAACTTTGGCATCAGCGCCTCTGGCGAAATTTTCCCCATCTACAAAGCTCTGCCGAATTAAATGTCTTAGAATGAGCACCCCATTCGTTTTTAGCATAACAACTGACGTACGCTATCAGAAAATCACAAATTTATCTTCTGCGTCCCGAAAATGTAGTCACTTTTATCTCATCAACATTTAACTTAAGGTGGGGTGTTTTGATAACTATCTTATGTTTTAATTTCCTATAACGCCAGAAAAGAAAACAAGTTTTTCAAAAAATTATAGTGAATACTTCATCATAACCATGTGTTTCAATGTTAACAACTCAGTTTTATTTAGTTCTAAAGGGGTTTTAAATTGAATAATAAAAGTATAATAATGTGTAAATTATTGATTTCAGGACCTCGATAATGTTATAATTGTTTTCGCATTTTTAACAAAGTATATTTATTAAAAAAACAGGCAGGGGGAAAGCTCTAATCCAGCTTATACTTCACGCAAACTTTCTTTACTGCAGCTTGTTTCGTTAGAAAATGTAAGAAAGTATTTACAAGACATTTTTATAAATTCCAAAGCAAAACTCAAACATTATATTATAAGAAAAGGAACTAACTACCCTTCTTATGCTTGTTATTCTTTTCCTTACCAAATACCCTAAATCACCTTTTTAGTATACTTTTTTTAAATAACCAAATGCTCTTGAAGTAGATGAAAAATAACGATACTTAACGATACTTTGTATGTGTTTCTTCTGTGTCCGATTAACTTCATTAAAGATTTATGTGTTGTAACATTTTCAGTGTTTAACGACAATATCTAGTTTCCAGGACAGAATCAAAGCCTAAGCATTTTGCCGTTTTCTCCTGTGATCGATGACGATGGCAAATACTTGACCTGTCGAGCCGAGAACCCGTCCATCCCTGATAGCGCGCTCGAGGACAAGTGGAGATTAAACGTCTTTTGTAAGTTATATTTATTCTTTTCAGAATTATTCTCAAAGAAAAACTAAATCGAACCACACCGCTATCTCTTAAGCTGTATTTACCGAACGGCTTTTGCAATTTTTTTTATAATACGATTCAAGTGAAAGCTAACAATGTCACCTATCTGGGACAAAAGTTGCTTTCCCATAGTTTATTTTATAGCTGTAATTAACTTCGACTCTACAATTAGTGCTCGTTTTTTAGTTTTTATTCATGAGTTTATCTTCGAAATTGAAAAAATTATTAGGTAAAAGTTTGTATAGTCAGCGAATAGTGCTCTCCACAACGACTGTAAGAGTGGTCGGAGCGACGCCAGCACCTATCTTTTCACGCCAGAATGCAACGAAAAGCAAAAAGTGTGCCAATAGTTTTCATGAGAATTATACTAAACTATACGTCAGTATAAAAAATTGAATAAAAATACACTTTCGTGCTGTGAACAATTATCGGGCGCAAAGTGCGAAGACAAAGACCCGGACCAGTTCTAAGATACGGCAGATTACAAGGTATTACAAGGTAATGAAGCAAAAAATATTCGTTCATATACTGTGCCAAAGGAACGAATTGATAATTGTGCTTAGAAAAAAAAACTTCTAAAAGAACAACTTGCCCAATTAAAATCAAGGGGCAATAATATGAATAAAGTTCCGATCATTAGCAAGTCAAACGAGCAAAACGACGCTTTCATTGTCAACGCAGAGGTTATGCAAGAGGAAAACGAAAACCTCTGACCCAAACAAATAACGATAAAAAATGAGAAATATGTTGGCTTTCACACCATCTCAACCAAAAAAACACAAACCGGAAAAAATAGTGAAGTTCGAATAAGACGAAACTGAAAAAAATGTTTAGATGAACAACAAAAACACATCAGCAAGCCGCCAATGCAATGGTGCACTTGAACCACCCGTAGGAGCGATTAGCCTCCAGGTAGCTCACTGCACTGAAGCCAAACGACAGTTTTATTTGTGAAAATAATGAAATTTCCAAGGGTAAATGTTCGTCATTTCGAACTGGGACTCCATTGTAGCTTAATGAAGCTCCCGACTTCTGACCTGAACAAGTCATAGTGAGCAGATTAACTTCCTCTTTTGTCTGCAACCACTTAGTATCAAATGCTGTCAGAGAAAACGATTGCCGCAGCTCACAGTAACATACAGTGGATTACAAATACATTTCTAGAAATTGAACATTTTATGTATGAAACTCCCGACATAGAAATTTGACCATTAAGTGAACGTTGCTTGTTATTTTATTTTGTGGTGATTTTAAAAATATGAAGGAGCACTTGCGTGAATAACATTCTTATCTTATTACGTAACCCAACGCTGTCTTTTTCTAACGCTGGCTACAGGACGAAAAACTTTGGGTCGCATTAGCAAGTTTTCTAGGCAGCAATTTTCAAGTGAAATTTGGCAGAATATTATATTAGTACATATTTTATAAATTAACTTCAGTTCAACAAAGTAATTACAGAATTATAATAAAAAAACTATTCTAAAACAAAGAAAAAAATAAAAAGTTGTAGCACTAAACAACAACGTACAGTTACAAATATTCAAATGTCCGGATTTTTTTGTCTGACAGTGTAGTATATAACAAGGGACTGAGGGACATCATTTAATCCCGCGGGCGAAAGTTTCCTGGGCAAGCGTAACGAGCGAGGGAAATAATTCCCCCAAAGAGATTAAATGATACCTCAGTCCCGCGGGATGTACGCTATTTTTTGCACTTCGGATGTTGTTTTTTACAAAATAATTACAAAATAAAAAGATTTAAAGTTGAAAATCACAGACACTGTGATTGACAAAACATAATCAGTCTGATTTATTTATTGTCTAGATAAATTATAAACAACGGCAGCCATTGCAAGAAAAATCGTTCTCGAATTTGTTCCGGGATAGCATCAAAGATAATTGAAGAAGCTGCAAACAAAGCATTTGCCCAGTTAGTACCTACGAAGTCGAGTAAAATTTATCAAAAAAAGTGTGACGAATTTGGAAAATGAAGAATAAGGAACCCAAGGAATCTACACAGAAACCGTATTCTTGGCATATTTTCAAGAAAAATCCATCAACTTCTACATTTTGGACCAAATATTCACGTTGATGGCGATATTTAAAATTGAAAAAGATTTGGATATCAGCAAGTATGCAAAATTATTAGCTTTCTTAAAAAGAAAAATGAAAGTTATAACTCGAAAAAATCGAGAATTTAAATAAATGAATTTTTGAGTAGGTTCTGATGAAAAAAAAATTCATTGGCTAAGGTAATAAATTGTTAACGGATTATTAGGCATCCTGTTTAAAAATTTATTGTACAGGTTGCTCTTATTATTGCCGTGGTCGATGTTTGTAGAAGTAAAGAATTAGTGGATTTACCAACAACCCATGTTCAAAATTTAGGCTCTTCGTTCTTGTCCAAATATACAGAAAATATATGGAACTAAGAGAGAGTGAAACGAAACATAAACGCTTTTTGTATATCATGCAGTTGGCAAAAATAACTTTAACTCCCTTTCTCAAAAGACTACTATACATATTTCTAAATCTTCCAGATGTCATTGCACACGAGTCACTGTTTCTGACGTACCGCAAGATCTCTTCTAGGTGATACAAGAGCTAATATAGATATTTTAAAATGTCATAGGAGTTGAAAGTCTCAGCTACTGGAACTATCATCAGATATACCACTTGTGGTCCAGCGAATATTTTAACAAATGATTACACATGATAATTAAACAGGCCAAACGACTTTATGATGTTCGACCTTAATTGCACTAGTCTTCTCATCTGAACATTTCTTAGGAACAGGTAGTACCGCACCGGTACTACTTCCACGCACAAATTTTTAAACTGATCACGTTCTGCACCTTGGGGTGAGTGGGACCGATGAGAAAACCAGTATAATTAAGGTCGAACATCATAAAATCGTTTGACGTGTTTAATTGTACAAACGTCTTCTCATCTGAACATTTCTTTATCTAACTAGGTAGACGTTTAAAGAAATATTGTTGCGCAACTGAAAAGTATGTATGTACCTATATACATATACGCGTATACAAAAAAAACTATTAAGTGTATATAATGTTTATGAAAAGGTGTTCTACCGTCAACATAAAGGAATCTACCATTAGGGAACTAGACTGAAAGGAGAAGCAAGTAGTTCAGTACTAGGTCCATTAACAAGTAATATTTTTTGGTACAGACTGTACCACGGTTGAGTAGGCCATTCCGGAACTACCAACCCAAGTTACTCCCAAATAAATACTCCTGGGGAGGTACCTGTGAAACAAATGCTTTTACCTGCTTAGAAAAAAAGGGAAACAGACAGTGTCGGCGAAGTTGGGAGTTTGAATAAACTGTTTTGGCGTCAGATGATAGTGGGAACTTCTGGTGAATGTTTGTGCATGTATAAAGTGAGAATCCATCTTGACATTGGTCAGAGGGGCAATGGCCGCAACCTCAGGGTTTAACTGGGAGAGTTTTAAGCCAGACCTTCCCAGGGGCCGAAACTTAGTTAACAGCTCTGCTTTCACCTCAGGGGGCAGACCGTGCTACAAAAAATGAGACCATCGGTTTTCCAGTTGTGAGGGAGTGGTGGGATCCTGGCCCAAAACCACGAGGAATTCCTTGGGTAATTCCTTGAGTACTAATAGTGAGTACTGCGGTGATCAGCTGTTCTAACGCGTTTGTGGCGATTTTGGCGTTTTTATTTTCCCGTTGTGCTAAGAAAAAGGTATTCGAACCCTAAAAGGAAATAATTAACAGTACCTGAAAAGTGTGTGCAAGCGGAAACGTGGTACGTGGAAGCGCACAAATGCAATAATGAAGCGCAACGCTAACTAAAGGCAAAAATAGGAGGCGAGATCGCGGTTATTCAGAGGACGTGATTAGTTTAAAAATTTGTACGTGGAAGTAGTACTGGTTGTAACAGCCAAAAATACCACTAAGTCAAAGAACCTGAAAAGGCCACCTAAACAATAACTTGATCAATAATTATATCATCCACATACCCTATATTTTATGAAAATCACTTTTATATACAACAACTAAGGACTTTGATTATAATTATTGTTTTCCATCTGTCCGATTCACAAAATAGGTTAGGATTTTTCTAGAATGTAAACAACTCGATTTATGAATGAAATCGAATCCCTCCTTCTACTATCCCCGTGCTCTTCTATTGGCCAACTCCATCTGCGTCAAAATGTCGTTTCCGGTTTTTTCTTCCTTGGTTTTTAATAAAATCAGTAGCGGAAACGGGGCGAGACTATTTTCCATCCTCCTGTTGAAGAGTGATCAACCACGTCGAATCTTCCAAATTCTTCTCCAAGTGATTTCCGGGTGTAGGTGCAGAATTTAGATATATTATTGGATATCCTGTACATTAAAGTAACGTTTGATGCCCTCCCCTTCGATTCTATCGGATTATAACGCTGGGAGCAACTCGACCTTGGTCGGCTATTGAAAATTGGAAATTCGTAATTATTAAAAGAGCCTTGGATCATCCAAAGGTAATTATCTGTTGTCAATGAGTCTCTTCATGTGGTGGAATAAATGGTGTATGTATTTCCGTGAAATTCCTCTTACCAAAAGGTGTTGGGTTCCCCCATGTGGTCGAGATGTCTTCCCTGTTCGTGGCGTCCATTCTTGCCTCCTATTGCCTTCATACTAGAAGTATTTACACTTACAGGCTCTTTTTTTATTCCCCCACTGGGATATATATCTTTTCCCATACATTTCGTGGATTTTTCCGGGAACTCGTGTTGGATGGAAATTGGCCGGATTGATATAAACTTCTCCATCTACTCGTCGGTTCCACCACAACGACTAGAAGGTCCCCCAGGTCTCGAGGCAAATCCAGCTTGAAGTCCCAGCTTGCGTAGCAGCTAAGTCATTATTATAAGCCCCTATTTAGACTTTTTTCGCGTATGTGAAGTGGCCCACTACGGTTAACTTCCATTGATTTAAAGTAATTTAATAGTAAATTGAAAGTGTTATTGAAAGTATAGTTATCTAATAATTTCTTCATCTTCATAGTTCAAACTTTTTAAATATTACTTAGTTACATTTCATGTATTAGCTTCTTCGTTCTAATTCAGTCAATAATTATCTTGTTAATTACGTCGTAATTGTAAAATAATAATTGAGTTCAGATAATCTTTCGAAATAACCTAAAAACTGTATAATGTTATAAGAAGGTGTTGACCAACATGCCGGTTGCTTATGGTAGATCCAACCAAAGGTGGATAGTGTAAATTCCTGGTCTTCGCATGCGAATACGGAATATTTTCCCGAGAGTTTGGAAAATTCCACAAGGTAAATAATACCCTAACCTCAATCATTTGAGAACTCTCAATTCGTTTAATTCATTCATAGATAGGGTAGATTACCATTTGAAACTAGCGGACTTGTGATCATGCGCGTTGGTTTTTGCCCGAGGGCATAAGTTTGGAAATTGAGGAACTCATTATTATTTCTCAACAATTTCAGTTTCTTTAGGGTTAATTAAAGTATATCAGGTTAGTACCTTATTATTGTACGTAATAAATTCTCGAATTTGACTGGCCTAATTAAAGATATTAATCGGAGAAAAGTTTATTAATGGATGTAACCCCTCCCACCTCGGAGTCTCATCTCATTTATTGCTAACAACAAGGGATATTGCTAGCCAAACCTAGGGAGAACACCAACCCTTCCTAAGGAAAAGAATTAAGGCAATATGGTGCACTACTACCTAGTTAGATAAAGAAATGTTCAGATGAGAAGACGTTTGCACAATTGAATTTATTTCTATATAATCCCTTGGGATTTTTTTAACATTAAGTCCCGCTGTAATAAATGGACCACCGTAATCCATAAAAGAGGATTAAAATCAGCCATTTAATCCCGGAAGTGCAAAATAATTGTTTGCATGCACTGAATAAAAAATTTAATGTACTTTTTTATTACAATTTCGTGAATATTTTGTTATGTGCAATAAAATGAACTAAAACTAATTTTAAAATACTAGTATGATATTGTCAAATTTCACTTGAAAATTCCTGCTGAAAGTTTTTTAACACGACCCAAAGTTTTTAGGATGTAAATCCTTACGCCCAGGGCAAAACAAAGGCTCTTCACTTTTTTATTCTACAGTATCGATATTTTGTAAAAAATTGCGTCAATATACATATCGTAATAGCACTTCCTTAATTATTTCCTCCAGCTCTCCAACATGGAGCCGGCAGAAGCCAGTACATTTTAGTTCTAAAGAATAATGTGCGGTCTTTTGATTACCAATTGACGATACGAAAGTTTATTGGCAAAGGTTAACACCTCGAGTCAAGTCGATCTCCTTTATTAGTATTGAACTACACGAGCCTGACGCTTAGTGTTACATTGATTTTATTTTACAACATGTTTTTCCGCGGTACTTTTAAAGGTTGCAGGCGTTATTTTACAACAAGGTAACCTGAATCCACACATTGTTACATGATTATTATGGATCGAAACTGCATCGTTTAACACCCTCATGGAGCATGTTGGATGAACTTTTACATTAGCTTCGGGTTACTTTGGAGGAAATACCTCACACGGGGTTCCCTACATAATTTCGAAACAATGGGTGTAACAACAATCTAGTGACGTCACTGATTGTTATTGGTGGTGCGCAATACTTGAGACCACGTTGCACTCTTCTCTTTTCACATAGGTGGGTAATTTGCAAGTTTATGCACTCGTACACAGTAATAAAATTAGCACTTTACTTAACATGAACACTCTACAGTTTATGTTTTTTCTACCACACGTTACAAACTATTCATTATTAATGTACGAGAAAATGGACATTAATTTTTAAGCGTTGCTGAAACATGTACCTATTTATATTGCCAGTCAAAACATTGTGCCAATCATGACTGTAATATCGATTAAATCGATTGGTAAAGAGTGTGACAGTAATAATTCTTCAACTTTATTTATCCCCATTGTTTTGTGTTTGTATCAATTCTAAAAATATTGTGTTAAAAGTTTTAAATAAATTTGTGGTGGTAAGTCATAGCAGCTTTAAATAGGAATCTTGTAACGTAATATATGCAATAAACAAATTCAAGTAAAAATGTTTTAGCTGTTCTAAAATTGAAGTAACTTTGGATTAAAAATTAAACTCATTTTAATTCACCTTCAAAAGTTTAAGTTAAATTGTCATTAGATTAAATCCGATGGCATTTCCTTTGATTATATTAGTTCTGATGATTGAATTCTAATACATACTGTTTATCACAAAATCAATATTAATTAAGTCATATGTATTTTGGTAAATGTTAGGAGTTGTAATTATTCAGACATCGATTGTATAATAACATAATAATAGTACAAAAGCAAACAAACTCTCTATGCGTCCGCATCCGTTTTTGCGTTGACAGGATTAGTCCATAAATGTTCAAAATATTCTCTTGACCGGAATTGATCCGTTATGTAGAGCACTCCGGTGTGGTTCGATTCGATATATTATTGTTTGGTTTTGTTAAAAACGTTTCGGTGTTAATTAATGGATAGCAGTCTTTTGAAAACGTTGTGCTTTATTGTAGATACCCCGGTCGTAACGCTAAAAATGGGCTCGACATTAAACCCGGACGACATCAAAGAAGGCGACGACGTTTATTTCGAATGCAATATCCGGGCCAACCCCAAAACTTACAAACTTTCCTGGTTCCACAACGTAAGTATTTAAGAAAACAACTTCCTCCGAACTTCGTTGTAGAGGCCGAAAACTTCGGAAACTCTTTCATATTACTTGTTGAATAGACCTTTATGCACGTATATTCGGTAGAAGAGCGCAGAAATCGGCGACCACAGGTAATGTGCCTCACTTGGGCTTTTACCATAATGTTCGGAGTGTACCTAATGAAACTGTTTTGAGAAGAATGTGGAAAAGTTTTTAGCGAAACTTTTCCACGTCGATTTCTATCACTTACGAAAGATATTACCAGATAGTGTCAGTTTGAAAAAGTTGAGGCTGTACTTAGAGTTGTAGGTAATACTTCGTAATGACAAAAAGTGATCCATGTCAAGGAAGTTATTTAGCTGTATTTCGTTGCTTTAACAATTATATAACAGTGCCGGTGCCATTAATTTTCTCAACTCTATCAAATTAACAGAGGTAATTTCGATAGCATTTACTGCTAATTGTCGTAAGGTTTTCTCATGTGTTCTTCTGTTGCGAATTTTAGTCATTTATCAAGTAGTGACGTTATACGTGGAAAACCGTGTTTTCAAAATGTTTTTAAACTCACAGTAATTGTTTTATCATAAAATTAACAGGTAACCTGAGTTTCATCACATTCAAATTATTCTTGAAAGAAACAGATTAATAACAGTCGCTTTTTTAATAACTTTTAATGCTAACGATAATCTTAAAATTGAATTCGGTTTTGCAGTTTCAAAATGAAATTGTAAAACGTTGTCACGACATTTTGATTTTTGAAATCTAAATGTTTAGGCTGAAAAATCAAGATAGATTCATAAACCACAAGTGTAGTAATGAACATTTATGTAAAATTTTGAGAACACATCATCACATTGTTGGGTGATTGTTAATTGTAACGAACGAATTGCTATTTTTCATAATTCAGAATTAATTTCTTGTCAGTAGTGTCCTCCATTTTTGTAATAAATTATGAGTTGCTTCGAGAATAAGGCGTCAATTTCAAGTTTGCCATTTGCGCAATCGCAACTCGCAACTTTGCGACGCCGATTTGTGTCAAAAATTATTATCAAGTTGAAATTTTCCATTAATGGAAGGAGAGCACAACAACGACACCTCAGCTCTCGGTAATCTTTTATTTCTAATGAAATAACACCGAGATAACGAAGCGAAATACCACTTGCGTCCCCTACTAGATGTGATGCGACTCGATGCTGCGACTTGCAGCGGAAAATTAACTGTTAACGCAAGGAGGGCGTAGATCGGTGCTGAAAAGTTGCGTTGCAGAAGTGGCTTGCGTTGGCGCAAATGGGCCAACTTGAAATTGGCCCCTATGAGTTGTCTAATGGTTCCTAATTGTGTCCTTGGTGTTCTAATAGGCAATTTATTTTCTTCATTATTTTATCTGTTTAGTTCGGAACTAAAATATTTATTTGGGTTCGCGTTTTACTACTAGATTCATAATTCTGCTACTGAGAAAATATGGGTCAGTAACTGTTAACGAGTACAATTTGCTCTCTAAGATGCTAGTGTTAGATAAAGGTTCTACAGATGCTATATGGTTGTGTTGGTACTCCACGTCCTCGAAATATACTGCCATGTTGTATTAACTACATTTGTTCAGTTTATAGATACTTACCCCCATGAGCGCGTAGGTACCATGATACCATGGTACTGTACTATGTTTATATTGACTATTTGTGTAGCAATTACGAATGTTATGCATTCTTGCCTAAAGCAGCATGTTTACGTTATTCAGACAACTGTCATTTGCATTATCCGCACATAAAGAAGAAACTTCAAAGGAACTTATGTATTCTACATTTCTCCGTTTATTCTTTAAAAAGATATCGAAATTTAATGGCAAAATGGAATTTGGGCATCATACAGGGTTTCTATAAATAATTATAGGGTCGAAGTAGGTCACGAAACTGGTTATCTAAGTTCTTCATATCTCAATCAATACAACTAATTCATTACAATAAAAAGAAAAAAAATTATTGTGTTTAAACGACACAGTAAATGTTGAAAATGTTCACCATAAGTACATGTGAAACCATATTAACTTGCGTCTAAAACAGAAATTTAAACTTTGGCCTCTCGTTGCAACATTAAAGTCTCAGTTTTCCTCTAGAATATTTTTCCCCAACTTTCAGAATGTTTTCTTTAAATTTATCTACCAAATTAAAAAATTGTGACAACCACTCAGTTTCCAGTTCTAAAAATAATTATTTTGGATACAACTTGATAATTTAATTTAATAATAAAATAAAGTTCGTGCGGCAGGAATAGTTTTTTAATTGATTGACATTTTTAGGTCGCGGTGTTATTTACTTTTTCAGTATTCTTTTATAGACTCGAAAGTTTTCAGCAAAAAAGGTAGCTTTCAGCCACGTTCCCCACGTGCTGATTTATGGTTCGGACGGTAAAGGGATATCGGGAAATTTTTCTTTATATAAATGAATTATGGACAAATTGGAGACGCTGAAAATATTTTTGCCACAACAACTGTACTTTTCAAAATGAATATAATAACAACAAAATATACATCATCGAAATACCTAAAAATGTTGGTTGTTAAAATGTAAAAGTTGATAAATAATAGTGCTCTGTTTTTGCATTAGAACACTTGACGCTACTGTTGCAGTAAAATGGTGATTAAAAGTTGCTTCCCTTATAAAATTGTATTAACATTATGTAACATAGCGTTGAGCTCCTGCAGCTTTTCATAATAATAATTAAAACGTGAGTTTGTGAATTAATGTTAAAATTACTTCTAGTGAGTACGTTAATTGGTATTTTCAGATAAGCAGTGTGGGAGTACTTTTTGTTTTCTACAAGAAGGGATAGTTTTATTTTGCTAATTTTTTCGTATAATCATAAAACTAAATTTCTCCTTAACCTATTGCAATGCCTATTGTAAATCTCATCCTCTTACCATTCCGTGACCTTATTCGTCAAGTTAGTCACTACGATAGGTCCTGCCAGCGTAAAGTGTTTACCAGTGGTTGTTTTCCTTTTCCCTTTTTTCTTTATTTTTGTGGTACTGTTACCTGTATTTCTCTAAATTATGATTTCCCCAAAGTGTAGCTCCAACATTGATGAAAACAATCCAAGATCTTGTATCAAATGCGTAATAATGATGTAATAATTTCTTTTGATAGAACTCTCCACATCAACTGCACTTTACAAATCTGTTAAACGTGACCTTAATACTCGTATTCAAAACAATGAGACTAATTTAAGGATTAAATATCACAACGGTTTTGAGGACCCGGTGGGTGAGGTGGCTTGGCATCTGCCCACTACACCTTGGGTCGTGGGTTCGATTCCCGCTCTGTCTCTGGGTGTTTTTGTATGTCCCCTTTTCCTGTAATTGGGCCTCTCGGCCTGTTGGAAAAGTAATTATTAAAAAAAAAAAAAAAACGGTGTTCCTACAGTACTGTCGGAAAACTAAACTTGTCCAACTGTGTATCCTCATCATTTTCAATATATTATCAAAATGTTAGAGATCTGAATTCTAAAATTGACCAGTTTTATTGTAATGTTTGCAGTTCTAACTTTTTCGTTATGCTAATCAGTAGAGAGCGGAAAATATGCAGCAAAATTTTGGGAAATATGATCATATGATATGCACCAAATTTATGCAAATATGCAGTAACTTTCTTAATATATACAGAGATATGCAGTTGCATATACTCCAAAAATTAAAAAAAAGATTAATAAGCGAACTAAATTTATTTACAAATTACAAAAACAGGTTTCCCGAGCTTACGTTTTATTACAAAAAATACATAAATCACTTTGCAAAGTGTTTAATTACATCTCACTAACACATAAATCACATTTTTAATGATAATATTCTTATACGAAAAAATAAATATAGACAGAAAAAATTAAAAAAGAGTTAAATAGTAATCGACTAATTTAATTACTATTTTGGCAAGAATTTATTTTTAAATATTTTTCGAAATATTCTAACAAAAAATTTTTCCGGTGATTCTAAAGTATGTATGTATTTGTAAATAGAAAAACTACTGCTTCGTCCACAGATGTAAAAATACTTACCGGTTTAGAGCAAGCGCGACAAAACACAGTTCCTTCTTGAAGAATAAGTTGTATCGCTTTCAATGCAAACTCACGACGAAAAATGATAGGATTACGTCCCTTGGACCACCACAAAACATATCATTAATACACTGATGCAAAGAACAAAAATATTGGGACTGAACGTATTTCCAAAAGTAATTAGGGCGCGAATTTACCTGGAAGGATGGCTTAACACTCGTGGTTTCTCCAAACTACCATAAAACCCAAACCTTTCATAGTTATTTGAAGCTCAGGACGATATTTGCAATATGATTCATGAAATTTCGTTTTTTCTAGATAAATGCCGATAGAATGACATTTTTTTTTTCAAATTAGCACAAAAATTGATAAAAATGCAAAATATGCACCCATTACGTGAAATATGCAGCAGAAGGCAAATATATGCAAATATGCAATTTTTTTATTGCTGTATTCATTTTTAATTAGCATGATTCGTTCACATATTAAATATCAAGACTTATATGCAAAAAATTGCGGATATGCAAATTTCATAAAATCCGCTCTCTACTAATCAGTGAACCCTGGCTTAATGATTCTGTATTATTAATAATGAACTGTTGCCTACTCAATATAATCTCTTCCGTTGTGATCGTAAGTTTCTTCGTGTCAATAGGTCTAGAGGTAGAGTCTCGGCTGCATTTAATGAGAAATACTTGATCTGTTATTTGTATACTTCGGTACTTGATAATAGTGTGCCTATTGTTGGTATTTTTTATGCAAATGTTTTATTGGTCCTTTAAACTTGATATTTGGTGTGCTTTATATTCCCCCGATATTTCTCTTGATGAGTTGGAAACAGTTATCTCTGCCTTTTCTGATTTTTCGAATGTCAGCACAGCTTTAACTAATAAAGTAAGTTATCTGCAAGATTTAACTCTACCCAGTTAAGAATATTTATAAAAACAACCATATAATAATATATGTAATTACTAATTAGCTGTTGGGTTTTAAAAGTTAACCCAATTTTTTTCGTTAAAAACAAATAAAAAATGAATTTTAAAGCACATATAAATCTGTAGCGGCATTTTTTGTGCATCCACATCTACATCAAAATCAATTTTAATTTTAATAATAATGAAAAAACTTTCAGAGTTTAAAAAATATATTTGTAGTCACTGCTACACGTGTTTCGGTACACAGTACCGTCTTCAGGCAGAAGAGTTAAAATTAATATGGAGTTTAAACACGTATCAGCCTCATCAATACAAATTCATCAAAATCACATTAGTATTTTCGTAATTTGAATCAATTCTGCCTAAATAACAATTTTAACATGATAGATGTTACATTACTTCGATGTTATTGTTACAACAAAACAGATAACTATGTTTTACTTTTTTTAAAGATTTGAAATATCAAAGAAGCTTTTCAAGTTGTATTTCTTGTTGCGTTTTGATTTTTTAGGTGCGGACTTCCGGTGAATAATCTTGTATTAGAATAGAAAAATAAACATCCGATTTAGTCTTTACTTTTATCATATCACATCAGCAAAACTAGATTTCAGAAACAGCACCGATCGGGCTTCTCACAAATCGCTTCCAGCGCCGCACTTAAATTTAATAGTTAGTATTCTGTGTGCTCCTTATGCGAAATCTTTCCTCTAGTTCTCTAACATCTATTGCATTTACAGGGAGTTGAAATATTCCAGAACGTCACCGCTGGAGTGATCATGAGCGACCAAAGTCTGGTTCTGCAAAGTGTAACTAGAGCCACAGGGGGCGCTTACACTTGCATGGCCACGAACGTCGAAGGCAAAAGCAACAGTAATGCCGTCCAACTTGTTGTCAGATGTAAGTGTAAAGTTCCATTTTTTCAAATTAGATCATCGTTTACTTATTCAACCGACACTGCCACGAGGATGCATTCGGGACCTCGGTTTCGTACTTGTACATTCAGGGCGTTCTCGTCTGGAAAAGAAAATACTTTGTTGAATATTGAAAATACGCTTCTCGATTTCCATTTTGCAAATATGTGGGAATAAAGTGAAGCTCGACGAACGTTATAAGGAAATTGCCTTGTTCAAGCACTTTGATCAACTGCCCAAATTTAACCGGCGATTGATTTAATCGGGTCAGTTCACTAGAATTCGCGCTCGTACGAAAATTTTCTTTTAGAAGCTAAAGGGAAATTGAAAGCATTTTTATTTTTCTTCCGTCGACACGAGAACGCATCTGCTTAAATTATTTTGTTTAAACGACCGATCAGCGTACATTTACAACAGTCAACGTTAAATACGCTACCCGCAAAAATTAAGACGACATTGATATTTACGCGAGAGAAAATCGTTAGCACAAACATGCAGCAAAATTTGAAATTATAGGTCAAAGCTATGCGACCGGCCGTCTCCAATTATTTTATTTACGTCAGCACATATTACGCTTTTACAAATTTTCTGTCGAAAGCATTTAACTGTGTCCTGTTGACTTTTTCTCCACATGACATGTTGATATTTTTACGATTTAGTTTTTTACATTCACTGTATTTTTAAATATACACTCTGACTTTTTACATATACAAATCCCTCCAATTTGTAGCTTTTATTGTTTCATTATGAAATCCACAATGCTACACTTGTGTCAGTAAAAGCTTGGTAATACTAATAACACTCACATGATTGCTGCTAATTATCGGTAATGACAATGACACATGTTATCTACAAATTGTAGATAAAATTAATAAGTGGACACTTCCGGTTAATTAAACTAATTAGGTGATCACATATACAAACACACTTCTATTTTTTCAAAGTTAAAGATGATTTTGTTTAAGAATTGGCAAACTATGTCTGAACTGTTTCAATTATACTTATAAATATAAGTATCGAGTTTTCCAATGCGTGTCTAGAAATTCTACAAATATCATTTTTACTTCAAATACATAAAATAAAATGTCGGTAATAGTGTGAAGTTTTATGCGTGATCTATTAACGCGCCCGTTTTTGAAAAAACTAAAATTTTACAAAATTACCATTTAATCCATTTAAAAAACTAGATTTATTTAGTTGTGCTTCGGGTGCGAGGAAAATTTAACTTTAATTTCAAACAACAATTGTACCTAATACAAACGAAAAATTTATTATAAATGACGAAACGATTGCTTTTATGGAATAAACCAAAATACATGTAGGATTTATGCCACAAATGAAGCCACGCTGAGCTGGTGTAGTTATAAAATACCACTGTGTACCGGTCAGCTTGTTGAAATTCTCATATCTCGCGACAGCAGCTTAAAGGGAAATCTAGTCAGTGGAAAATATAACTGGTAATTTGTGGTACGAGATTGCGGTTGCATTTTTTTTTATTTTTGCGCTTTAATAATTTCATAGCTCTTCTTGTGCAGGATAGATTACATAAAAACTCGCATAAAAAGTAATCAAAGTGGCAACACTCAGGGTCCAAAAAATCGAAGACTAAATCTGTAAAAATATAGCGCAGTATGCGTTAGAGCTGTTTATCTTATTATAAAACAAAATTTAAGCATAGACTGAAACCTTTTGCAAAATCATACACAAATATCAACGCTGTTGTTGTTTTGCTACATTTTTTCTTCACGTTTACTACACATACCTGAACAGGTCAAACGATTTTATAATCAACCTTGATTGCACTGGTATTCTCATCCGAGCACATTTGGTTATCTACAAGGTAGTAGTGCAGCATACTATTTTCTCCGCATAAATTACAAATTAAACATATCCTCTGAAGAATGATCTTACCGCCTATTGCCACGAGCGGTCGCCACGCACCTCAAACATCAAACAACATGCAAGTGCTTCCGGTGCTCCCATCCAAAAATCCAGGTGCAAAATGAAAAGTTAACGTTTAATTTTTTTATTTTATTATCAAAAATATGATATGTATTTTTATATAGAGTATTCTTATGTATAACAATTCTTTTAATTTTCTCATCTTAAAATTTTGGCAATTTGCCTCTTATGGTGGATGGTAGATATAAGAAATAAGGGATAGTAGTTTTGTTACCAAAATACGCCACAGTAAATCACAATAGCCACTTTTATCTTCGTTGATCAAATGAAGATCTCACCAGAAGGACGATTTTTTGACAATCATGTTTATACGAGGATTACCTTTGCGATTACCCGTCAATGTTAAGTCCATTCTGTGTTCCAGTAACGACAGTTTGGATAATTTGGTTCTGATGGCAGATAAAATTACGGAATTCAGTTCCCTGGATGCACGCACTTTTGAAAATTCTCAGGTGAACAGATCGGCGGACCAAATTTCTCAGCTTGTAGACCAGGTCGCTCGACTTACAGCCTCGATAGACGCATTCACTACTTCTTCTCACGCCAAATCGTTCCAATGATCGAAGACATGATCCAAAACACCCGTCAAGAAAAACTTGTGTTGGTACCATTCAAAATTTGCTGTAAAAGTCAAGAAAGGTATCCAACCTTGCGCTTTCAAAAAACAACAGTCGATGCCGGAAATCAACTAAACCCATTTGTTGAAACGGCACAGCACAATCCGGTCGAACATACTTTTTGCCGTCTTTTAATAACAGACAAATTTCTTACTAACAAGGGGGCAGACGTGTCAGTGAACCCACGGAACCTGTTACCAAAGTGTAAAAAGCAAAAATGACAGCTGTATGCAGCTAAAGGTTCACTAATTGAATCTTTTGGAAAACTTTTGCTCGCTTTGGACCTGGGGTGGCGTCGGCAGTTCTGCTGGTCCTTTATTATCTCAGGAGTCAAAACCCAATTATCGGAGCAGATTTTTTTAACAAATTTGGTCTTCTGGTAGATATAAAAAGTAAACGGTTGCTCGATGCCACTACACATCTGTCCTCTCTTGGAAATATATGTAGTAGGAGTTATCTAACACTGCAGGTCGTCGCTCTGAACACAAAATATACGGCTCTATTGACGGAATTTTCAAACATACTAAATGAAAACCCCAACTGCAGTGTTAAGAAGTCTACTTTTTACCGTACCATCTCCATGACTGGTACCCCATGGCATGCCAAACCCAGACGACGGACTCCTCCTAAACTCAAACAAGAACGCCTGGAGTTTCAGCCTAGGATAGACATCGGTATTTGCAGGATTTCGGCTGCCAACGGTCTCGTAAAAAAAATTTCTTGGACTTAGTACGTGCGTATCACCATGTCCCCATAGCACCAGAAAATGTTCAAAAAACCGCTGTGGCAACGAAATTGCGGTGTGACGGACGGACGGTCCAGAATCTCGCCGATTACGTGTGATGGCGGCGTACCTGTGTCAAGTTTTTGGTCAAGTAGTGCACTGATTTAAGAAACACGTCTGGCCGACCTAAGCTTATACAGCGACCTTCGCGCCGCCGGTGGTGACGCTTTCGGTCAGGAGAGGCGGTCGCTCGGGCGCCAGCTCCCTCTCCGGGAGAGGGAGCGCCGGGGTTTCTCTTAAGCCGGAGACGCGGATTTCAGGTGGTGAGCGCCCGCGAAAACACAGGAGTAAAATAAAACGGCAAGGAATATTTTAAACAATGAATCGGATTTATTCCCTGCCATCACGCTACACGGCTAAAAGAATAAATCTTACGGCTAATCTTAAAAATAAAATTATAAAACGGTTTTACAAAAAAAAGGATAAGACGTCCGGCACGGTCGTTCCTCCTGGGCGGAGACTGGTGACGGTGACGACAAAAAAAACGGTGACGGTGGTACGGTTTCTCGCTCGGGGGCGGCGATTCAAAAACCGGTACAAAAACGAGCAGAAAACCCAAGAGAATACTTACGATGGTCGGTTTCAACTGGGGGTTCTGTACTTCTCAAAAACTCACACTTCAAAACAGCGACAGCACTTCTTCACCCTCTGAAGCATCGAGGCAGAATCCTCTTCCGCCGCGGCGGCGCGGCGATCGCGTCTTTACCCCCAGCTCTCGCGGTATGCGTCACGGTTTCAGGCCCGCGAAAATTCGCTTGCCTGAAACCGTATTCAAATAGTCCAAAAACACATTTGGACTATTTGAATTCACAAGACTTTCTTTTGAACTTCCGAACCCAGCTCAATCATTTCAACGCAGCATAGTGGATGACTTAGAGTTCGCCTACATTTACATAGATAACATCCTGATCGTATCTGAGAATGAAAATAAACATGAGATTGACATTCAACAAGTTTTTAGGCGACTTTCGGAAGCTGGTATAAATCTCAACCTGTCAAAATGCTCACGTAGTGGTTCAGAAGTTTCTTTTCTTGGATATCGAGTATTAGCTGCAGGCATCGCGCCTCTGGCAGACAGTGTCAGAGCTATAAACGAAGCTCCAAGACCATCAACTATCGCAGAACTTCGCTCATTTCTTGGTTTATTAAATTTTTACCGGCGTTTCATGCCGCAGACAGCTATAACTCAACACATGCTGTTTAAACTCCGCAAAGACACTAGGAAGAAGGACAAACAGGAAGTAGTTTGGAGTAGCTTAAAAACAATTATCAAACGCGACTGTTTTGGCCCACCTAGTGACCTTCCTCTTGCCTTAATGGTTCGGATTTTTCTCTAAGACTTTGTCTCCAATTCAACAGAAATATGGTACCTACAATAGGCAGCGTCTAGACGCATACTTCGCTATCAAACATTTTCGTTACTGTCCAGAGCCACGAAATTTCATTTTGAATACTGATTACAAAGCGTTAACTTTTGCGTTTCAACAGAGCTACGCCAAGACAACTACGTCACCTTGACTTCATTGGTCAATTTACAACAGACATAAGATATCTTCCAGGTAGAGAAATCATAGGTGGCAGTAGGAGGTGAGATCATCGTTCAGGCGATGTGATTACTTTAAA